GTCTGTTGCAGGGGGCTGTACAAGGAGAATGATGAATTGTGTCACTTAAACTTTCGGTTGACGGTGCAGTTGGCTAAAACATTTTTACCGTGCACGATTCAATGTAGATTACTTTCAATGGAATTGATTACCAGTTCTTAAGTGTAGAGGTGTCCCTAAGTCACTATATAATTTTGCCACCAAATGATAAAGAATATAACCATCATCGGTACTTGAGCCGGATACTTCACGTGTCAAAGGCTTTTTCGACGATTACGTAGATCTGTGGCAGATAGCTTTTATAAGCTGGATTTTACGTTAAATCAACCTTAATGGGACCATCACGCAAGCAAACGCTCAGAAGAATATTTATGAGCAATGTTGTTAGAAACGTTTTTTTCTCGTCTATCAATGCCGATCTACTCTTTGTAAAAAGAAGGCTTTCTCATGCGCTTGCTCGACAACTCATTTGAGTTTTCGGTTATTTCGTCGATGGCCTCATGACCCAGTAGCATAGTCATTCGGTCACGTAGCTCGAGCACATGCTTCCACAGACCGTCTTTTTCGCACATCTTCAGAGCTATCGTGTACATCGTTTTGACCTTTTGCAGCGCGTGAGCGTCGCGGCGCTGGCGCCGATAGAATACTGCTTCCAAATTCCCCTTTCCATCGCCAGATGGAGTCAGCTCCTTTAGGTTGTCTTTTTCAAAGAGAGAGATAAATTCCAATGCTCTTTGAGAATTATTCATATTTCGAGCCAGGTGCACCAGCTCGTAAGCCTCCGATAGCTTGACGATAAAATTGCACTTTTTTATAAGCTCCATCATGCTGTCAATGATATCGGAGTTTTGAGCTTTCAAAGCACCACGTAGCACACATAATACCGCTTTGTACGTATGTCCACCGCACTTTTCAGGCATCTGTAATATGAGTTGTTCGGCTTCAATAATGTTGCCTTCGCTCACAAGCCTCGAAACAAGAATAGTCATCCAACCACGTAGAATGGCACGATCCTTCTCATCGCTCACAGAGACGACAGCTTCCCCATAAAGAGTCTGCAATTCCGTCATGTTGCCTTCTAGCGCCATAAACTTCAGAAGTAAGTCGTAGCAAATGCAAGGCAGCTTATAGCTATCGTTCCGGTCGTTTTGAGCTTCAGCAAAGGCCTCCAATAATTCCAGACGCTGCTGCTTGTTTGCGTCAATGTATGCAGGACACAAGTAGCCTACAATTGCTCTGTTTACCTTCAAGCCACGGTATCTGAGGTCTTCAAGCACTGTCTGAACATTGCTGATATCGTACATTGCGCTTTGACTCTTATTATGGCTGTAAGACCTTCGAAGGTGTTTACGCATAGAGCTGAGTATTATGATGTAGTTTGCTTCTGTTGCCTGCAAATTACAACTTGCTATCTTATTTAAAATCTCCAAAGCATCGACCACCTTGCCGTTCTCAACCAGCGTTTGCAAAACCAAATTGATGACCTTGCCAATGTTGAAATAAAGGAAGTAGGTAGATTTTTCAACACCGTCGTCCTCTTTCGCATTTTTGCTGGAATACGACGCTAGTATTTGGTCAAACAGTACTAAAGCGGCATTTGGATCGCGAAAGCGACGGAACAGCTTTAGCGTGTCATTGACACGGTAAATTGGGACTTCTTGGAAAAGCATAGCTTTGCTGGCAGCATAGATAATATCATCTCTCGTCTCATTTTTCTGCTTTACATAATGAGTGATCACTCCCGCTAGCGCATACCCATATTTACCACGCACGACGGAAAAACCCTTAACCAAAGCTGCCACTTTGTCATGTTGGTTCGTTTGAATATATGCCTGTACGGCATCTTTTGCCAAGGAAGGACGTACAATCATTGCACCTTCTGGAATTTCGGACTGATCATCTTCTGATTTCTCTAAGAGCTTGACAGCGGAGTCGACCAATGCCGCCGCGTCGATATCATTCCCCTGGGCAAACAGCTCACGAATACGCTGACTCAATGTAGAGTCTTCCATTTTACTCCTATTGGGATTAACAGCAAAGGATGTATCCTGTAAAAACTCAGCGTTGCGCATGATTATTTGGTTCGTCTTGGTATCGAAGCGCACGTTATTATCTACCATCTCCTTCAAAACATCCTTAATTTCGTCGTTGCGCTCTAAGAATTCCAAAGTCGTCATGATGCGATTGTAGCCACGAGCATCAAGGTACAAGTCGAACTTTTTGCGATTGGCTAGAATATCCGTAGCTTGCTGCTTGCAATTGTTCGCTCTGCATACGCTAAGCAGAGCGATCAGCGTGCCACCACTAAGCTTCATACTAGAATTACTGTAGAATTCAAAGGCCTTCTCGGGTCTCTCAATGATGCCCATGCTGAGAATGACACGGTCAATACACGACTCGTGCCAGTAACCAAGTTGCGGATCGACTGCATCGTACAACTCTTGCACCTTTTCCACGTTACCTTTTTTGGCAAACGCCAGCATAAGCCGCGACGTAATTTCATTGGTTGTTTCGTGGCCAGCATCGGTCATCTCCTGCCAAATCTTGACGGCAGTGTCCATATCATCGATCTGAAGATATCCAACAATTCCAAAGCGGTAAATCATTTCAGGTACCGCTTTGAAGCGTGGTTTGGCCGTCGTGTAAATCTCGATGAGGCGCTTGGATTCATTTCTGCGTTGAAGGATGCGAAAAACCTCTCCATACACTGCAAAATTTATGTGTGACGGGTATCTGGCTTCCAAAAAAGCGAAGGCGGTCAACATGACATGGGTAGCCCGGGTCTTTTGTGCCGCCATAAACACGTCAATTATTTCTTCACTAGTCACATCCTCGCGTGAAATCGCATCATTAAGCTCACCTTCTAGAGCTTTTGCTACCAATCCAATCTTTGCATTGCCAATCTCAGCACGCAAGTCGCGCGCCGAACAATTAAACAGCACATCGCGGTCCACGCCAGCGATGCTGGTGAAGTAAAATCTGACACCTTCAAGACATTGCAGAGGAGCACGATAGACAGGCATCCTAGCCGCTCGAAGATGGCAAACGGCGGCAGCACGACATGCGCGCCACATATTTACTTTTTTTCTGCGGTCAGCAATGAACCTTCATATAGTGTATGCTACACACTTTAGTCTATCATTTATTCGAATCGACGTAAGAGATAGCTAAAAGATGCAAATGCTCACTCCTCAACAACTGTCAGCCCTTAATGATGCAAAAGTACGACACTAAAAAGTGAGTTATATTGTAAAGCTCACATCCGTTTGTGTTTGACCATTGATAAGGTGATGATCCGCATGGATAACGAACAGTATTTGCGAGACCACCCTGATGTGGCTAGGCTTATGCGTGCGCTAGTGCGTGATTTTCTTCGGTATCGGCCAGCCAACCCAAACACATATGCTTATCAATTTTTCTCTCGAGATCACTCGTTGATTCGCCGAGATCTCGAAGCGACAGATTAAAAGCGATCGAGTATAATTAATTGTGCCTGAAGAGGTTTAGCATTCGCATACTTATCACGGTTAAATCTCCCCTCCTCTCGCACTATCAGAATTTAAAGAAAATTGTATTATGCTGCCTAACCATCCATTCATCTTGATCCGCGATAGACTTTGGATCACGTTTTGATTTGAGTGTGGCATGACCTAAACTGGTATGCTTACTTATACCTCCCCGTTTATCGCTCAATTTTTTATCAGGCTACTCCGACTACCTGCGCTTTCTTCAGAACGAAGCCGGATGATTTACCCTCTCCATTCGCAAAAAAACATAAATGTTGACCAGGTACTTATGCACTTGAGTCGGAAACGCTGGTGATCTCATCGGTGTGATGCGCGCCACCACGGAGCTTCTGCTCGGCTGCATCGCGCACAGGCTGGAAGTATGCGTGCTGCATAGCCTCCTTTGCAGTAAGCCGTTCTTGGTGGTCATAACGCAGTAGACCATCTAAGAAATCAATGGCCTCAGGCGAAACCAAATGTTTGTTATCTTGTGTGACAAACTTCTCCCATGGTTTCTTTGTGTGTGAGCCTAAAATGCCATCGTACTGCGGGTCCAACTCCAGATCGTAAGTCGTCAGATAGTCGAACAACTCGTCTGTGCCTTTTATCTTGGCAATTTTTACCAACTGGTCGCAGTTATCATGACCGTGAAAGAAAGGTTCCTTGCGAAATATTATGGCCGCAAACATACAACCTAAACTCCACATGTCGAGCGAGTAGTCGTACTCCTGCATATCCACCAGCAACTCAGGTCCCTTAAAGTAGCGACTTGCAACACGCACATTGTACTCGCGGCCCGGATGGTAGAACTCTGCAAGACCCCAATCAATCAGACGAAGTTGGCGCTTCTCATGGTCGATCATGACGTTGTGCGGCTTGACGTCACGATGCATGATGCCATTTGAGTGGCAATAGTCCAGAGCCTTAAGCAGCTCAAACAGATAGTAGCGAATGTCGAAGTCACTTAGAGTTGGGTAAAGCGTCTTGAAGTCCGTGTTATTTACATACTCGGTCACAAGACTAGGTGTCTTGGATTGCGGGTCACGCACAACATCTAGCAGCTGGACAATGTTGACGCCACCGGACAAGTTTTGCAGGATCTTAATCTCACTATCAGACAGTAATCAAAAGAAACGTAATTATCGCAGTAGCTTTAAAATTCTCCACAGTCTGGCACATATTCTGTGGACATACGCACCGCTTTATTTTCTTCTTTTTTACGGGCTTGAGAATTTTAATAACACAACGCGAATTGTTGGCCACGTTGTAGCCTTCGAAAACCTCGCTGTACTTGCCACGACCGATTTTACGAATCACTTCGTAGTTGTCTTGATCCCTGAATATCAAATATAATAGAGTCTGTAAGCATTCTCACATATATAGTAAGACCAAGACTGCTATGTGCCGTGAGATGAGGGCAATATTACAGCGCATTTGCAATTTCTCAAGATAATACAATTTTGAACAAAAGGTATAACGCAAAGGGAAAAAGTGTCACGACAAAATTGACGTACCCCCATGCCACATTCAGCGTCTCATAGTCCCAATATTCGCGCGGGCGCGTTTCATTTACATCGCAGTATACGCGGGCGCGACTCATGGACAACTACTCTTGGTCGCGCGATCAGCTTTCTTTTATGGAAGGCTCCCGACAAACTTAAATTAAAATACAAAAATCAAATGATAAGATTTTACAAGTACGTTTTATGAAAATAAGTGTAATGAAGGTATGTAAGCGGGTACATACTCTATCATGATGTGGGTGTGCACCATAAGTATCAATCATTACCAGTACTCGATACGAAAATGGGTGATGGCTCCATCATTAAGATTTCCGTAGGACGCGTAAGCCGCTAGCCTGATGCTATGCAGTATGCAGGGTGTCCTATGATTAATGGTAAATCAGATACATCTAGTAAACCTTAAGCTAGTCTTATAGCTATTATATCTCTTAATATAAGAGCAAAAGAAGCACACGTTACTTCACAGACTGCTAGTTTAGCTCTGGGTGCTGCACAACAAATACATCGTATGTTCGTTAGTGAAAGCGGTCACGGAAAAGGCTTGTTTGTGCGTGGTGCACGGCAAACTCATTCAGGCAAATAGCACTTGTCGTTGATTTAACGGACAAATCTGGATAAGACCGTATTCTTTGCGCGGATGAAACATGATATGAACACCTATCTGTGCTGAAGACAACGAGACACGCTTTAGTAGCTCCTGTCTCCAATTGGTCGAGGGACTGGGCAATTGGCAGTTTTATACCCAGAGGCGTGATCGAACGCTGAAGGCGCACAGTATGTAGCGGGGCTGCCGAAGCTGGAAGCTAAGGTAAGGTCACCGACCTAACGTTCTTTTCAAGAACAAGTACTAGTGTAGCGAATCGCGATCCGCTACTTCTAAGTACTAAGAACCTTAACTAAGGCAAACAAAACTTCTGTTCAAATCAAAACTTTACTTCATTGTTTTAGTTGCGGCAGAGCCGCCGATTTCTGAAACACTAGGTTTTTCTGATTAATATAGTAATACCTAATTAGTATAGTAGTATGCATTACTACTGGCAATCCTGCCACGTGGTGGCTTCTTTTAACGGTGTAACCTCACCACTGTGTGATTACACTAACTTGTGTAATACACACCTATCTCTGGTCGCACAATCTTATGCGACCCGCCCTTTCACACAAGGGTACGTGTAACCCCGTTACACAGAAGCTGTAAGAATCCACCATTAGAAACGTCTCAACTGGACGTATGTGAATTTACAACCAGTTCCATAGAGCTAGATATAGTGAGGCCGCTTTTGAAATACTAAGTACTTTCACGGTAGAGACGGGGGAAGTGTGACGTGGTGGTCGCCAACTGTTTGCCGTAAAGCAGAAGACGAGCACGCCAAATTTTACATAAGATCAATTTTTACATGT